CAATTACACATTATCTTGTACGTCCTCCAGGTTCAGTATAGTTTTGGGTATCATCACTTTTCAAATGGATTCCTAACCTGAACAAGCATCCATCTCTGTTGTAATAACTAACCCTCATTGTACTATCAGCTAATAAAAACTGACCCAGATTAAAGTTCTTTGAGTAGGGAACATACCAAAATCATGTCTGGGCATTCAAAAAGTCTCTTGACATATAATAATCACTTATTGTATAGCTTTATTGAGTGAACTAGTAAATATTTGAATTCTGCAGGAACTTAGTATATATGATGGATGGTATAAGAAATGGAAAGTTTGGGTATTGTACTCATCAGAAACAGTTGACTATGAAAACTTCAAGATCTACTTAGAAACAAACAATAGATATTAAAGTCTTTCCTGTGTGGCCTTTTTAATTAGAACCTCTCTTTTAAAGCACAAAGGAGATCATTTTTGAGGGGTTGGGGGTTTGGGATGGAAAGTTCCCTGTAAGCATTCTGTATATATGCCTCAATTTTTTGGAGCTCCTTAACATTTCTTCTGCAAGCCTTTATCTATCCTAACTTTTGTATGTCAATAAATACTTTCCTCTGAGGGAAAAGAAGTTTTTGTGACTCCAGACGGGTGCCTAATATTATCCTTTTGTTTAAAGAAACCTCCAGAAATATGCCAGTTCATAAAACTAGGTAAATACGCTTCTAAATCCCTAAAAATGAATTTGGTGTAAAATAAAAGTTGACAATAAGCCAGAATCTTCTGTTCTGGATCTAAATAGAGCTTAGATTCCTGTTTGACCTGACTTGATTGCCCAGGTTTCAACCACAGTGTATTTATGGTCTCTTCTTTGAATGAACTCAAGTTTCATAGCAGTTTTGGTCACAAGATTAAAGAATTGCTAACTAATTGTTCTGAATAAGCATAGTAATTCTCTCTGGCCCCTGCAGCGGTCTATTGCCCAGACTTCCATCATGGGAACTTCAAGTCTGACCCCTACAGGTGGATAAGTGCAATGCATACCTACAAGCAGATCCTAGTACTACTTTTAAAATCACAACAAGTTCTAAAAATAAAAACACTCCTATTAAGCACAGCAGGGATGTTGATGATACCAAACGATATGCTGGACACCCTTAGCATTTTATAAGTTGCTTTCGGAGAGTCGCAACCACTTGACTTAAAAGAATTTAAATTACATCTGCAAAATACTCTGATGTGGTCAGCTATTAATTCATCTTGCTTATCCAGAAGGATGGATCCAAATGATATAGATCTACGAGGGTCTTCGAATTGTGTACGTTAAAAATATCCTGATTGAGTCGCATCTTTTCCTAACCAAACAGATTATTCTTTGTCCAGTGACCAAATCCCTCCCTTTCACCAAAGCACAGCCCAGGTTGCCATAGCTACCTTGGATGTCTATTTACCACACAAGGGATCAAAGCCAGAAGACATCCATATACACACTTAGACTTAAAACTTGCTGGAATGTCTGCGGATAACATGCAACTGCCAATTAACGGATTTGCTTGCAAAGTCTATGCGGTCTACAACCAGGCAAATGTAGGAACAAGAGTCACAGGGGAATGGCAAGAAAAAGCCAACTCAAAAATGTACTTCAGAACAACAAGGACCTTGAAAGTAACAGCAAGTCCTACAATGATAGTATCTCCTGAAAGAGATAGCAGGCAAGAAATTAACATTTTCACATGTGTTGAAGACCTTGAGCTCACTAAGCCATGTGCAAAAACTTAAAACATCTGTTGAAAGGGAACTTTTTTTTCAGATGCATATTTAAAATTCCGGTTACACTATCTTCCTATTAGATGTCCTAAAAGCTGCATGATCTCACTGTGGAAACAAATGAGAACAGGACTTTCACATGAAGGAAGCCATACCACACAGTGGGACAGTACATGCTGGGTACAAAATGGGAAGGAAAGAGATGCTAAAAGGAGCAGTTGCTTTCCTCCTTTGAGAACCTTTGAGAACCTCAACTTGCACAGGTAGTCTTTCTGGGTGGGTGAATACCATATTCATTCCCAGACTTGTCTGTAACTTTCCTGTCTCCTTGGACTTAACTTTTCTTTGCCTTCGCCTTACCATTTGTTCAATGGGGATGAAATTGCCCCTCATTCTCTCCGCTGGATGTGGCAGAGAATAAATAGATTATGTTTGCAAAGGACTTTCTAATCCTTGGAGAAAAGATTACTATGAAGACTTTCATTATTAAGCCAGATGTCCTTGGGCATGTTAATTCCAATCGAAAGAATGCAAAACGGGCCAATCAAGCTGAGTCACCGCATCCTCTAGCCTTGCAAGAATGTCCCCGCTCTGTGGCTAAAAGTGAACTAGAGCCCCCGTGTATTCCCTATGACTATTTTTGAAAGTTGTCAGAATGTTAAAAACACGAAATATGTCTGGTAGGCCATTTTGTCTGGAGAATACCTTTTTCTAGCTTGAGAATGAAGTATTTATTTTTTGCCCACAGAAGGACAATGAGTAGCTTGCTCTTGGGGGAGGATAGTTGCAGTTATGGGAATGGCACAGGCAAACCTGTTGTTTTTGGCTGGGCTTCTAGAACAGGTGGCCATGCCTTTCCTTTTGCCTAGGAACACATCACATTCCTTGAGGAAGGTTCGGGCAAGTTTCTCATTTATAATCAGAGTGCAGAGAAAGGTTGGCACACATTTTAACAAATTACTTCCTGATAAAGGCAAGTCAAGTTTACATTTTCTTTTTTACCCTAACGCCGCGTGGCCTTACCCTCAAAGAATTCTGTCTTCCCTCATTCCTTTGCTGCCGACCTAGAATACCTGACCCTCTCAAAAACTTACGGCCAGCCAAGCAGCCTTCTGATTCTGTTGGCAATTTCTGGCCCCGCAGTTTCTGGCTAGTGGGTGGCAGGAGTCTGTGCGGGTTGCGTTGGTACAGCCCTAGGGATGGATCACTCACCAGGGAAAGGATTGAATTTCGTTGCTCAGTTGATGACACATGGGTCGGGTTTGATAGGTAACCCTGCAGAGCCACTGGGAGCTATGGGACTGAGGTGACACATTGGCTGATGGGTGCTACTCGCCCTGCCTGGATGTAGCAGTCAGGTTTCCTCAACGGGAAACTAGAACAAAGCTGGGTGGGGGGGGGGAGGTGGTTCACCCATGCAATAATAGAACCATCTCCTCTCCCCTCCATCATCTTGGACTGTCTGGGCTGCTTTGATGAACAATGGACCTTTCTCCTTCTCTTCTGTCCCCTCCTCTCCTCTGCCCTCTTCTCAAGTAAGTACCCAGCAGGCCCCAAAGAAAGTTTGCTATGTCCCTATACATGTGGAACTCAGAAGTTGTTCACTTCTTAAATCAGGAGCTCCTACATGTGGACTTTGTGCTCTTAAAACTTCAATCCTGGCTGGTTTCCAACTTCACATGAAGCTATGCATGGGAAAGAGCATTGCACAGTCAGGAAGGCATTCCGAGGGCATCACACATAGGGAGAGCCACTGTCCCAGAGGAACTGTGTGGGAAGGAGGATTCTGGAAATTGAGCCACTGAGAGAGGACAGGTGGCTGAACAAGTATCGGATGACTTCTTTGTTCCGGCTTCAGAGTTTTATCAAAAATACAAAAATATTATTGCCTCTCTCTCTCTCTCTCTCTCCTTCCTCCCCCTCTCTCTCTTCCATTCTACTGACCTTCTTGCTCCTCTTTCCCACCCCATCTGATTGCAGGACATTGAAAGAAGGTGGCTGGACTGTAGGACTGTGAAATATAAAAGCAGCTTCCACCTCACACAGCGTCTTGGAAGATGAAGGCAATTTACTGAGAGCTCAGGGCACGACATAGGCTTTTTGGCACTCCTGAAACTTGCTTAGGACTGTTTGAAGGAACCAGAGGGCTGAGGGTCTTTGCGCCTGACCAGTCAGGTGAGAGCTCTGCTTCACCTCCTAAAGCCACTGGAAAGCAACCGAAGTCTGTAACCCTTAGCCTCAGCTATTCAATGAAGGGCTCACTTCCCCCAAGTGAGCACACCCACCGAGCATACCTTGCCCACTTAGAAGAAAAAAGCAAGAGCCTTTTCTGTGGTAAAGCAGATGCTAACTTTCCATCCGTAGTCCCCACAGCACGCTCTTCCACAACAACTGGCCCTTTCTCCCAGTCCACTCTTTCTTGGCCCAGTACTGATACTGATATTTAAATATTGACATCATGTTCTTCCATAACTTTGATTGAGTTGTAAATTACACCCTTTCTTGGTTTCCTAATCCACCTTTTCCTGTTCTTTTCTCCCTTAATGGCAAAGCTATAAACCCCTGCTGAGCTGATAAGGAATTTTATTATCATGCCCTAGAGCCACGGAAGAAGCTGCTGGCTTAGAATTCTTTTTCAAAGACTCATTTCAGTAATCCCCAAACCCTTCTTCCGCTCATTACTTCAGGGCTGTCTTCTTACATCCAGAAGCAATAGCTTCCAAACTGTTAAGACAAAACAAAACAAAAATAAAATCTGCCTTTTGGGGGGAATGGCTGTTCTACTGGACTTGGTCCGGTAACTCCTCCTCTGATACTAAGTCCTAAGGAAGGGAAGCCCAACTGAGAGAGGCCATCCTCTTGCCCTATTCTTTTTTTAAGATACGCGTAGCATTTGTCTTTATTCTATCCTAAAGCACAGAGGCTAAAGAACTGGAGATAGATTCCACACAATACATTCCGGAGGCTGAAAACTGAGATGGATTTACATATTCTTCAAACCGCTTTCCAGCCCTAGAGCGACTGCTTGCCATCACCACCCACCAGGAAGAAGCAAAAAGAGAGGGTGGGGTGCTGAGGACTAAGAGCTCAGGGAATTTGGTCCCTGTGTCGCCTTAGGAAAACCCTGCCCCTCTCTCTGCTCAGGGGATCCAGGCGGGTACCTGCGTGTGCGCCTACTCCCAGACTCCAGGAGTAACAACAGGTCTCGGGGATCCCACGCTGAGCCCACCCTCGGGGCTCCGCACAGCCGCCAGGCTTACCTGACTCATGTTTAGAATTCCATGACCCATCCGGCAGGGAGTGAGCGGCATCAATGCGCCCGCCGGAGTCTTCCGAGGGGAGAGACACCAAAGCCAACAGAAGCCCGCGAGACAAAAGCAACCGGCGGAATCCACAGGCAGCCAAGAGCACGTTTTCTCGTCCTCTTTTTCTTTGATCTGTTGCTACACGCACTCTGCCCCGAGACAATGTCAAGTTTCTCAACCTTTCCTTTCCCAGCCTATGAAAAGTCGGGTGCAGGGAAGCCAGGACAGCCTGGGCTCTTATTTCAAATCAGTTCTCAGGGACGTCGTAGGCGGCGGGCTCCAGCCATGGAGGAATCTGGCCAATCAGGAGTAGGGGGTGGTCCTGGGAGCCAGAGACCCTGCCTCCGCCTGGATTAGGACAGCTATCTGGAGTCAAATGACTGGAAGCAGCTGGAAACAGTGCCCTGAGCTCCCAAAGTAAAAGGATGAGTTCTATTCTTATCTTGCAGCGCTGTCTGTTCTGAGCTCAAGGAGCCTAGCTTGGGGCCTACATCCTTGCATTTTGAAGAGCTATGTAAAAGCATCCAAGTGCTTGGAAGGTGTTTGAATTCTTTCAGCCAGGAAAGTTCAACGCTTAAGATATAAGGAAATTTTTTTTAAGAGTATCTTCCATTAGATACCAACTTTCACAGCTGGGGAAGAAGTCAAATTCTTTAACAAAAACAAGCACTCAAGAAGGCTGTTACACAACTCATCTTCTCATAAACTGTATATCCAGTTTAGAAAAGAAAGCAAATTTTAATGGGCTATGTACACACAAATATTTTGAAGTGAAGCAAGTGAACAAGAATCTCATCACTGAGGACCCAAGATAGAAATTCTGATTAAAAAAAAATTCTCCTGAGAACAACAAACACTGATTTTTGTGAAGGAAAAAAAAAGTTAAACATAAGGGCATCCACTCTTCAGTATGAATTGCCTTACCTACGAGTGATTTGCTTAGCTTAATCACTAACTTGGGCAAGCTAGACATCATCTGAGCAGGATGACAGGTCAACTAGCTGGCTTCTTGGAAACCTCAACCCAGACTCAAGAAGAATTTCCAAAGTCTTCTTTCTTAACTCTACAGAAAGACTAACTCTTTTCAACTCTTAGATGATACGATTTTGATATAAATCTACCTCTTGGATTTCCAGAAAGTACAAGCTAAGCAAAGATAGCTTCATGTAAAACCAATAATATATATACATCCATCCATCCATCCATCCATCTACCTATCTATCTATCTATCTATCTATCTATCTATCTATCTATCTATCTATCTATCTATCTATCTATCTATCTATCTTCCTAAAGAAATGACAACAATTTTGGAAGGATAATCTAATGAATACTTTTAATTTTTGTAGTATTAGAAGAAAAGAAACAATTTAGCAAGCTGCTGGTCAGTACCTTCTGAGTATTGTCTCCATGAACCAGTATTGCATGAGCAATACTGATACTAGTTCAATGAAAATCTGGCCACCCTAACCATATCCACATTCGAAGGTCTGTGACCCCATTCCAGTTCCTCATCTGAGCAGTCTCTGGGTTGCCATAGTGAAATAAGCTGGCCTCAGTCCAATTCTTGGACTTTCTTCAGAAGACATAGCCTACATCAGATTTTCTGAACCACAGCACTACTGGCATTTGGGGACAGATGTTTCCCTATGGTGGGGCTGCTCCCTGCAGTGGACTTTGCCAACGAGATGCCCATGAGCATGTCCCCGTTTGTGATGATTACTTTTGTCTCCAGACAGTCTAAATGTAGCAAAACCATGCTTTGAGAGATTCTCAAACATGAATAGGCAGTGACATTTCTGGAAAGATGGTTTAAAATGTGAATCCTCACTCCCTTTCTTGAAGGATTTCTGACTACGTAGGTTTGTCAGAGAACCTGGGAGTCACTAGGGCCCTCGTGGCCTCCTGTCCAAAGACTGATTCATTCGAAAGAGCACGCCTCTCCCTGCCATAGACGTGCCTCAGCCCCAAACCCAGGAAGCAACCCACAACCATTGTCAATTAAGTGCTGCTGGAGCAAAAGCCACTGCACAGCTGCTTAGTGAACAGGAGCTTCTCACAACGGACAGCTGTCAAAGGTAAATATGAGCTAGGATTTCCTCTCTCAAGGCTGTGCTCATTTGAAATTTCTGCCATTGTTCTTCTTGACTGACTCATGCTCTCACCATCCTATAAGCTCAAATGTCAACATTCTTTGTCCACCACCCCCAAAGAATCTCTTTCCTCCATATACATACATATATTTTTTTCTTCTAAATTAGTTTATACAAATTCAGTGCTGGGCAGGTGAATGTTTAACAACCAGCCCTCAAAAAACTACAAATAAAGTCCGGTACAAGTGGCTCACACCTGTAATCCTACTCAGGAGTCTGACATCGGAGGACTGAAGTTCAAAGCCAGCCCAGGTAGCAAAATTGATGAGACTCTTATCACCAATTCATCACAAAAAAAGCCAGAGGTGGTACTGTGGCTCAAGTGGTAGAGTGCTAGCCCTGAGCCAAAGGAGTTCAGGGACAGAACCCAGGCTGAGTAAAAGCCTCAAAATAAATAAATAAAAATAAAAATAAACACCAATAAACAAGTTGATGAATACCAAGATTTGTATGTTCTTTGAGGATTTCTATGATATAAATATTCTCTCCTCTCCTGCAGTAAAGGAAGAGCCTTTCTAAGGCTCCCTGCCTCAGTCAGGAGCCAAAAGCACCCGGTCAGCTCACCATGGCGGCTTTGCTTTCTCTGCTGCTTCATTTCCATGCCTTATTGTAAACTCATATTCCTCCTCCTAAACTAGAAAGGACTCCAGGACAAGAATAGTCTCTCATTCACCTTTGTCATCCCAGCTACCTTCACCACATCTGCCATGTACTGATATTTGTGGAATGAAAACAAAATGTAATGTACAGCCTCCCCCAAAACATACATACAGAGCAATCCAACCTCTGCCACTGCCTCACGAAAGCAGGGAAAATCATCTTCTACAAGACAAATGCCTGGAAGTTCTCTTTTTCTCCAAATTTAGTATCTTTGCTATACTTCTGACAATAGGCATAATGCTTTCTCTTATATCAACACTCCCACATAAAAGCTACATCCAGGTCAGAGTGAACCACAAGAGATCAGCCACTAAGACAACCTCAACTTCGTGGACGGCTTTGTGAGACAGCGTATTTTTATTTGAGATTTTCCCATACCCTGGCATCTATATACTTAGACACTTTCCCAGCTATAAAGCTGGGTCTCCAGGAGGAGTACATACGATAGCTGCTAGGTATATACAAAAGTGTTGTTGTAGGAAGTTTAGTGTTGGTTGGCACTTGGCTGCTTAAGGGAGCTGCCTGTTCTCAACCTTTTATGAGGGTGCACTTGCACCTTGCTTCAATAAAGCTTGATCTGTTAAAACTAAAAAAGAAAATTGCTGGGCACCAAGGCCTCACTTCTGTAACCCTAGCTACTCAGGAGGCTAACATCTGAGGATCATGGTTAGAAGCCAGGCTGAGCAGGAATTTCATGAGACTCTTATCTCCAATGAGGCATTTAAAAAAAGCTAGAAGAGGAGCTGGGGCTCAAGTGGTACAGCACTAGCTGTGAGCCCCAAAATACTGGGACAGCACCCAGTTCCTGAGTTCAAGCCCCAGGACCTGCACAAAAAAATATAGTGATGGTTGATGCTTACTGCCACCATTTCCTATTATGCATCATGTATTATGCATCAGGACAAGGGTGGTTATGATGGTATTATTAAAAAACAATCATTATGTGTTGCCTTCTAGGAGCCAAAGACAAAGTAAATAATTATTGAAAGTCTTATCATTATAAATGGCTGTGCTAGAAATTAAACCTAAATGTATCAGATTAGAATTTCTCTGCTTTATGAATCCTGTGGTCTGAATTCCTAAGATGAAATTCAAACCAGCAAGGTGATGATAGTTAAAGGGAAGTCTTTAGGAGGTGATGAGGGTATGTGGACAGAGCCCTAAGCAATGGGTTCAGCACCCTTATAAAAGAAGCCTGAAAAGTGGGGTGCTGGTGGCTCACGCCTGTAGTCCTAGCTACTCAGGAGGCTGAGATCTAAGGATGGTGGTTCAAAGCCAGCTTGGGCAGGAAAGTCCATGAGACTCTTGTCTCCAGTGTACCACCAAAATGCTGGAAGTGGAGCTGTGGCTCAAGTGGTATAGTGCTGGTGTTAAGCACAAAAGCTCAGGGACAATGCCCAGTCCCTGAGTCCAAGCCCCAGAATGGACACACACACATAGAGGCCTGTAGGAATCTGGTTTCCCTTGCTACCATGTTAAGGACATGGCAACAGGTAGCATGTGCATGAAATAGAGAAGTGAGAGCCATATACTGGCTGCAGAAACCAGACACTGAGCCTCTTACTTCCCAGTCTATTTATTGTATTCTGTTATAGTAGCCTGGACTAGGACAATGCTATAAAATAACCTGTCTCCAGAAATGATTAAACAACAATGAGAAAAAAATCTATAAAAATCAATGCTCTATTTAAAACTTTCAAATTAAGTAAGTGGCCTTTTATGTCCTGGAGCTTGAACTCGGTGCCTGGGCGCTGTCCCTGAGCTTCTTTTGCTCAAGGCTAGCGCTCTACCATTTGAGCCACAGCTCCACTTCTGGCCTTTTTGATGAATGATTAGAGATACAAGTCTCACAGACTTTTCTGCCCAGGCTGGCTTTGATGCGCACTCCTCAGATCTCAGCCTCCTGAGTAGCTAGGATTACAGTGTGAGTGAGCCACCACCAGCTCCTGGTGGTAAGTGGCCTTTTTGAGTTGTCCTTGACTGAAGATTTGTTCTACCTAATGGAAACAGCGTAAGCAAATAACATGAAGCAAGTAGAGAAACTTGATTCACCAAAGAAAGGGGTGCTCTGTTCCCACTCTGATTAACAACGTTTACAAATGTTAGCTGAAGGGATGTAAGTCTTGGTAGCTCTTCCTTTAAAAAGCAGCCTACATGGTAATCCTTTGTAGCTTTGTGTGCATTTGATTATAAACAGACCTCTGCAGCAAACCTAACATTGTTTCCTAGGTAAGTAATCCCATAGACAAGCGCTCCTAAAACATTGATGGGCATTGGTATGCACCTGTGGAGGACAACGAACCGAACCATGCAGCTACCGCCTCTCTCGGTGATTTGTTAGGTGGGAGACTACGGAATGATAGTTTAAGTAAAAAAAATATTTAAAATCAGTAACTTCATGTAACGTATTGTAATGTATGTCAGGAAACATAATCGGTAAATAAGAATCAAACTTCATGCCTGTAATCTTAGCTACTCAAGAGGCTGAGATC